TGTGTGGAAAACGCGCATTTTTGTTTGAGCTGAGGAAGAAGACAAAGTTGACTGGGCTGGGCCTGGTTATTTTTGCTTCTAACACTTGCATTTTCAGTTCACACCCCGGCCCATTTCCTTGCATATTTGTCATTTTTGTATTTTTATTTTTATTCTGACTTTATTATTTTATGTCTAAATATAAAAAATGCCAAAAAATTATTTTTATATATATTTTCCATTTATTTGGTATTTATTTTTATTTTTACTAGTATAAAAATGTTTATATATTTTTATGTCATTTTGTTTAAATTAAAAAAATAATACAAATAATATTTTTATTTTCATTTTATTTTTATATACATTTGAAAATATTTTCTTGAGATATATACATTTTGTAAATAATTTCTTTTATTTTTGTACACACTTAATATATATATATATATATATATATATATATATATATATATATATATATATATATATATATATATATATATATATATATATATATATATATATATATATATATATATATATATATATATATATATATATATATATATTATTAAATAATTAGAACAAAAAACCCAAAAAATAATACATTTATATTTTTATTAATATTTTATACTAAAAAATACCCTTTTTTATACTTTTATTTTTATACAAATTGATGCATTATTGTATATAAATAATAAATAATATTATTTATTTAAGAAATTAGGGTTTTTACCTTAAAAACAAAAATGATTAAAATTGACTTTTTATTTATTTACATTTCACATTAAAAAATACTTTTTACATACATAAAAACTTTTTTTTTTGCATATACATTTTATTTAAATTTTATTTATTGTATTCATTTAAATATTGTATATTTAATTGTTATGCCATACACATTCGATTTGGTTGTAATAACTTAGAACTTTATTTCTTGTCTAAATAATCCCCAATTCAAATTTGTACCCCCCTCCCTATATCATGTTATAATAGTGTTGAATTTAAATTCTCGCACCTTTAAATGCTTTCAAATATGCCATGACTAGACTTAGAGTTTGTATGCAAAATCAAATTAACAAATAGTTTGACCTAATCCAAGATAAAAATGCATGAAAAACAAACACAATGCACACTTGCACCCCTAGGGTTACAATTCACTTGTTGCCTTCAAAAATGGGCCATGGTATGCATGTCTAGTACTTTGGCAAAACAAAAACAAAGCAAAAGATCATAGACCCTCGATGACGCTATCTGAGTTGTCTAAACAAAATGATCAAGTCCCTCAAGAAAATTGCAAAAAATACTTGACACTATTGCTATTATGGTCTATACGATGACCCGCGCCTGTCCTGTTTAACATCCTAACACAAGGTTGTTCACCAAATACAATGGTGAAGCAACACTGTCAAAAGGGTTAAAAACATAAGAAAGATCTTTGAGTAAAATAGGGTAGTTAGCTCTTAGTTACTTGATCAAAGCTTGCAAAAACATCCTTGCTATCTTCAAAACACACTTCACAACACAATTTCAAAACCCTACTTTCAAACATTGAAAACCTTTCAAAAACAAAAAACACCTTCGTATACATTCAAACAAGAATCATTACAAAGGTTGCCACAACGATGGCCTCTTTTCAAAACATCTTTCAAAATCACACACAAAGCACCATTTCAAACAATTGAAGAGCACCATTTCAAACAATTGAAAAGCAAAGCAAGTGATCTAAGCAAGTAACTAAGAGCCCATGGATAACCAAGGGTAGAAAGGGTGCTAATACCTTCCCTTTCTATAATCTACTCCCCGAACCCAAGAAAACATCTCAAAGGTCTTTCCTGTGCTTTTTGACCTTTCCTTAGGATAAAATAAAAAGTCAGTGGCGACTCTTGCTAAACCGAAACATTTGCGAACACAAACGCAAAATCCCAAGTCAGTTCTCCCACTGTATCACAGCTATTGGGGATGAAGAGTATACATATCTTCAAACTTTGTTAAAAGAATGCTTCCGTTGGGGAATATCTCTTGAATGTTAGTTGTTATCTGGTCGAGTCCAGGCTTCACAACTTGATGAGGATGAGGAAGTCAACTGCTATCTGGTCAGATCCAAGCTTCACGACAACTTATTGGGGAAGGATAAATTAACTGTTATCTGGTCATATTCCAGGCTTCGTAGAAGATTTCTTGAAATTGAATTGTTATCTGGTCGGATCCAGACTTCACAGATTTCTTGGAGTGGTAACTACTTTCTGGTCGGGTCCAGGCCTCATAATGTCTCGTTGGGGATTGTAGCTAGTTGCTATCTAGTCGGGTCCCGACTTCACAATAACTTACTTGAAAAGATGAAGTTGAAAACTGATATCTGGTCGGATCCAGGCTTCATAGATTTTGAGGTGGATGAAGTTAATTGCTATCTGGTCGGGTCTAGGCTTCACAATAAACTTGTCTGAAGAGATAGAGTTGAACTGATATCTGGTCGGGTCCAAGCTTTACAGTAACTTGCTTGGAACTTAGTTGTTATCTGGTCAGATTCCAGGTTTCACAACAAACATTTGAGGGGAATTGCTATCTGGTCGGATCCAGGCTTCACAATAACTTACTTGAAAATATGAAGTTGAAAACTGATATCTGATTGGATCCAGGCTTCACAGTAACTTGTTGGGGGTAGAGGCAAACTCTACTTGGGAAAAGAAGTTAAACCCTGGTCTGGTTGAGTCCAGGTTCTTCAATATCTCGAAGAGTTAAACTATTATCTGGTCGGGTCCATGTTTCATAGTATCTTGAGAAGTTAACTATTATCTGGTTGGGTCCAGACTTCATAGTATTTGAAAGGTTACACTATTATCTGTTCGGGTCCAGGCACTATAGTGACTTGATAAGTTTGACTATTATCTGGCCGGGTCTAGGCTTCATAGTATCTTTTGGACATAGTAAAGGTTTTGTTAACAACTTTACTGGGGATTAGGGGTTGTGGCCCTCTGATTTGTAATGGTCTGAAAGGCAAACTCAAGCTTGGAGAGGATAGACTCAACCGGAGAAGACATACTTAGCTAGGGAGGATAGACCATGCAGGAGGAATTTTGCTGTTCGTTGTTTGTTGTATGTTATATGTTGTTTGTTGGGGAAATAAACCCTGTTGATGAATACTTGATGAACGTCTGAGAGTTGAGTTCTTTTAGGAAGAGATCCACAAGGCTTCTTCTTGTAGGATCAACTTAGCTTGGGAGAGAGCTATCAAGAGATTGAGACTCTGGTTGGAGATCAACCTATGCAAAGAGACTTTGTGGGTAACTCTGTTGAGGGAAAATGTTTATTGTAGCCGTCTTGTGGAGATAATGCTTAATGAAATAGCTCTCTGGGGATATTCCGTATGCATTAAAGAGATGCTTGCCGCTACTTAGAAGAACATATGTGCCAAGTAGTTTTAATTATGTTCACATGCATATGTTCGTTCAATTTTATTCATTGGACATTTTTGCATTCAAAACAAAAACAGAAAGTTTGCACTTTAAAGTATATTTGTATTGATATTTTGCTCATGAATAGGCGTTTTTGTACAAAGAGACGGAGATCCTAGTAAGAGGAAGTCGTCGAAAGGAAAAAAAATTGAAAACAAAAATAAATAGCCATGTGGAAATGATCTCATTGCAATCCAACTCTACTATTTCCCCAATGTCTTCGAATGCCCCTTGCCATTGACAAAAGTTGATTGGATTGATCTTGAACCGTTTGAACTCGAACCTTGGTAATAAAGTCGATTGTGGTGTTTCCACGGGACATAGTCATACGCTTTTAATCCTTAATCTTTGCCTGGACCGCCCTTTTGGGTTTTCAGCCCACCAGGATACCCATTTTTGCCCAAGCCGCCCTTTCGGATTTTCAACTTGTTGGGTGTACAATCTTTTGCATATATCCCTAATTTTTTCCCAAACCTTTTGGTTTGTCGGGATGCCCTTATTTTGCCTAGGTGTGTCAACCTAGCGGGTCCTTTATGCGTATTATTTTTTAACTATCTCCGCGTTCGCAGGATGTGGGAAGTCTTCACCATCCATGGTAGTCAGCATCATGGCACCGTCAGAGAACACTCTCTTGACAACAAATGGCTCTTCGTAGGTGGGAGTCCATTTGCCCCTAGGGTCGCCTTACGGCAGAATGATGCGCTTTATCACCAAGTCACCAGCTTGATATACTCGAGGCTTGATCTTTTTGTTGAAAGCCATGATCATGCGTTTTTGGTACATCTGACCGTGACAAATAACAGTCAGTCGCTTCTCATTGATCAAATTCAACTGATCCAACCTTGTCTGAATCCACTCGTCTTCACCTAGGTCTGCCTCATTCATAATCCTTAGTGAGGAAATCTGAACTTCCACTGGCAAAACAACTTCCATGCCATAGACTAAAGAAATGGGAGTTGCCCCAGTTGATGTTCTAGCTGAAGTACTGTAGCCATGAAGAGCAAACGGTAACATCTCATGCCAATCCTTGTAGGTCACTACCATCTTCTGCACAATCTTCTTAATGTTTTTGTTGGTTGCTTTGATTGCGCCATTCATTTTAGGTCTATAAGGAGAAGAATTGTGATGCTTGATTTTGAACAGAGTACAAAGTTTGGTTTTGAATTTGAACCTTGGCAAAAGAAAAAATATATTAATCTAACAACTATTTTATAATTTTAAAAAATATTATTTGCATATCTTATATAATATTATTTATTTATTTTAAATAATTTTCAATTATAAAAAAGAGAGAAAATAAATTTTGATAAATTTTTTAATATAATATCATTATAATAATTTCAAAAACATAAATATAATATTTTTCAGCATACTTCTTACAACCAAGAATACTGCCATGAAAAACTAATTGTTGATTTTACCGTTTAGTTTTGAAATCACAAAGCAAAACACTTAAAAATTATATATTATCTAATATTACAATAGTTTATATTTATTTTAAGAAATATTTTAAAGAAGATGCATTCAATCCCATTTTAAACAAAATAATCTAACAAGAGTTCATCTTCTCTATGTTTTGTGACCATCTAGAATGTTCTGCAACTCCATCGGCCGACATGGAACAACAAGAGTTCCCTTCTGTCTGAAACCATACTCCTCCCAAGCATCATCAAGCAATCCCACAAAAGCAGGATCATTCAAGTATTCTAACCCCACAATAAACCTTCTAGTTTCCCCACCCTTCCTTGCAAGAACAGCAAAGTATCCTTTCGTAACATCATCGGCCAAATCACTCGTGCTTGAGGCATGATCTTCATCCCAGTAGCTCAATGCATGCTTTCTTGGTACAAACATTGATAAACTCTTTTGTAGCTTCCCAATAAAACAACTAAGCATCTCGGTAGTATTTTAATTAATTTTTATGTGTTAAGTTGGGCTTTTTATGTTGATTTAAAACACGATATTTCTTAGCTTTAGGTACGTATACAAAGCCACTTAATATACACGGTACACTGCATTCATTGCAATTTTATGATAGGTCAATTATTTCCATCTCATTAGTCAAAAAGCTCTTTACTTTCAAGGGAGGGCCAACAATTTGTTGTCTCTTGCTAAATCTAATACCCTTATTGTTATTGATATGTATTTCTTTATTTTGTAAACTATTGATAGGTATTTTTTCAATGGATATAATGGACAAAAGTGCCAAGTCAAAATTCAATAATAAAAAATAAAAACACCAAACAATGAACATAAGAAAACAGACAAAAGTGCATCACAAGTAGCCACAACTACAACAACAAACGAAACAAAAAAGAAGAGTACCATCCAACAAGATCAATTATCTCAAATAGATTCTCAAGGAAGCATCAACAACTACGTAATATCATGGAGTCATGCTAAGAATCTCGATCTGCTATTGATTTAGACTCATGATAAAATTTTGAAGTCAATCGTTATATGATAAAGAGTTTATCTAGGTTGTTCACACACCGGTAAAAAATATATGAGAATACACCATAAATTGTCATATCATAATATACGTTCCCTATTTTTAACCCTATGATCTAAGGAGAAGAAAACTTCAAAAACAAATTAAAAGTCTCTAGGAAGGGTTATAGGAGTTAAAAAAGAATTACAACTGTAAATAGTATAGAGAAGTCAAATATTAGTTAAGAATGTAGAGATTTAAATATTTATAAATGAGAGAATTTACACACTTATCACCTTAAAATTTTAAATAAATATATACTGCTCATAAAAATTAATTGTTGTTAACTATATAATGCATGTTCTTTTTGTTTAATTTCTGTTAAACTTTAATATTAAATTCTTTAAGAAATTAAAGAATTAGGAGTTACTTTAGAATTAAAGGTTTTGCCCCTAAGAAATTAGGGCAAGATCATTGGAGAGATTTGGGTAACAATTCAATAGAGAAACTAGTCAAAGTCAAATTAATAATTTAAGAGACAAATATTGTGAAACTCATCTTTGACACTTTTCACTTTTTATTAAGTTGCAAAAAGTAATATTGTTGATAGATTTAAACACTTCAAACTTTCGTTAAATTTAATATAAATAATAAATTTGTTGAGAGTGAATACTTGTGGGGTAATTAACAATTACAATCAAAATATATTCAAATATACAATTATAAACAATGTTTTTATCTCGATTGAACCAGAACTTTAACCTCGATTTAGAGACCGATGTAATGAAGGATGTTTTAGAAAGTATGTTATTTTTTCTCTGGATTGATCTTTTACAAGAGAAAATAAATAAATAATTATTAGTTCGATTCCCATTAACCAGATTTTAGTGTTTACTTGAAAATACACTACATTTCCTCTTGTTGTTTCTACTAACCCAATATATATATATATATATATATATATATATATATATATATATATATATATATATATATATATATATATATATATATATATATATATATATATATATATATATATATATATATATATATATATATATATATATATATATATATATATATATATATATATATATATATATATATATATATATATATATATATATATATATATATATATATATATATATATATATATATATATATATATATATATATATATATATATATATATGGATAAATTAGTCAATTAAACCTTTATTTATATTTTATCCTATTTAATTTTTTATTTTAAATTAAATTTTATATGGATAAATTAATAAATTAATTTTTTATCATATTCTGTCGGATTCTAATCTAACTTATATTTAGGATACAAATTTAAACTTGTGAGGTAATTTATGATAAGTTTCAAGATTTATTTATCATATTATGTTATGTCAACAAACATTGAATTGAGATAGGATATGATACATGTGTTATATAGTGTCTCTTATCTTTACGCACCAAATAGGCTCTAAAGATATATTATTTGCGCAACTGAAGAGACTATTGGTGTTCTGGACTGGGCCGGGCTGGCCCATGAGCAACGATAAAGGCCCAATCCAAACGGACTTGCTAGGGGTCACGCCGACCTAAGGACCATAGCTATGCCCGACATACGTCACTGGGGCGACATCCCCGTCCTCGTACTATCCAGCTCGACCTCAGCTCGAGCACTCCTTCAACAGCGGACACGGTCCACTGCACCCTCAACGGGACCCCGAAAAGACCGCGTCCTTGTCCGCCCGCACTTCACGCAAGACATCCAGGAAGGGGACCACGTGCGGGTCCCCACTACGCACGTAGAACCTGGCTGTTCCTCCATTGGGCCAAACCTGCCCGGCCCAATGAAGGAACCTTGGCCCAGCGCTGGGGGCTATAAATACCCTATGTTTCCAGAGGGTCAGGTATTCATTCTATCACATATACTCACACTTTGCCTGCTCGTGCTCTTACTTACTTCAGCATCGGAGTGCCTTGCAGGTACCCCCCCCCCCCATCTCGTTCAAAACTTCAGCTCGGAGTCAGTCGTGACGGTTCAGGTCTGATCAGGACCGATCAGTGGCGCCGTCTGTGGGAAACTAGCTTCCCCGTCTTACAAAACTCAAAGACCAAAGCTCAAATTCAACTACCGCTGTCATGGCTGATCAAGCTCGCGATGAGAAGAACGTCCGTGTCGTCGACACTAACAACGGCACCGCGGACAAAAACGGACACCTTGATAACGCCGGCAACCCCAGCCACAACACCATTCCTGCGACAACTGCCCCCGGAACCTCCACCTACAGGGACGGAGCTACTGCATCATCTTTCTCGGTCCCTCCGCCACTCGAAGACGACCCGGCGACCCTCGCACACTATAGAGCTGCCCGGTTTCAGGAAGTCCCCGTCCCCGCCGGGGCGGATGCCACAACTCAAGCGCTGTTCGCAGCGATTAATCAAACGAACTATCTCATCTTCGCCCAAGGAGAGAGACTGAGGGCGCTTGAAGACGAGCGAAGATCCCCGAGGAGGCATCAGAGACCCCATACTCCCCCTCCTCGAGTGACTAAAGCTCGACACCCTTCTCCCCCGCGGAGACATTACAGGGAGACCTCTCGAAGCCAATCTCCCCGGCCAAAAGAGAAACGGCCTCATCTGGAGAGGCCCCCCATCATTCAAGCCGGAGAACCTAGTCGTGACCCGGCGAGACAGGAAAGAAGGCACTCTAGAGATGGGCGTGTGAAATTCCACCACCGAGCATCCCGCTCGAGAGAGACTCAGCACGACCTGGACCGTTGTGCCAGACAGTATTACAGGTCCCCATCTCTGTCTCCGGAGAGAAGCGACGAGGACGACCCACGCGGTCCCCTGTCGCAGGCTATTATGGAAGCACCCATCCCCCCGGGCATGGAGAAGCCCCCTCACTTGAAGGAATACGATGGAGTCACGGACCCGGTCGACCACATAGATGGGTTCGAGGCTATGCTTCATTATCACAATGTCGGGGGCCCCATCAAGTGCCGTCTATTCCCCACGACTCTCAGGAAGGCGGCAATGGATTGGTACAAAGGACTCGCCCCGAGCTCAATCACCTCGTGGCGGAACCTGAAGAACCAGTTCATCAGTTCCTTCACAGCTTTTCGGCGGCATCCGAAGACCGAGGCGGCTCTCGAGGCCATCATCCAAAGACAGGATGAAACCTTGAGGGAATTCATCAACCGCTTCAACCGGGAAGTAATACAGGTCCCCTATGCGGACCATATGAAGAGATATTTGCTGGAGAGAGGGCTCCTCCCCGGCACGGAATTTAGAAAGGCCGTGGGTATCGAGCCACCTCGGAAATTCGATGCCCTCCTCGAAAAAGCTCGGGCATACATGGACTACGAGGAGAGGGAAGCGGCCAACAGAGCCCGCGATCCCAGGACTCGTGGTCCCAGCAGCAGCTCGCGCCAAGAAGCCCCTCCTCGACGAACCGGGGAGAAAAAGAAGGAAGACAGACCCCGGGAAGTCCGGGAACAAAGAGGACCTTCGGGGTAGTTCACCGAGTACACTCCGCTCACAGCTTCCCGCGAGCGCATTCTGGCGGAGTGTGCCAGCACTGATTTCAAGGACGGTGGTGTCAAACGTCCCCGACCTGCTCCCGCCAAGCCCGGAGCAGACAAGAACAAATATTGTCAGTACCATAGGAGCCATGGTCATCTGACTGAGGATTGCGTCCACCTCAAGGATGCCATCGAAACCCTCATCAAGGGAGGGAGGCTCTCGCAATACCGGCGGAACGATGCTCCCCGTCGTGACGCCCAAGAAACTAGAGAGCCGGAGGAGGATGCCCGACCATCTGAAGAGTCGGTCCCTATCCAAACCGCCTTCTCCGTGACCAGGCCCGAGGACTTCGACTTCCCCGAGCACCTGCAGGAGCCGCTCACAACGCACAACAGGTGGGAATATTTCCCCTCCGCCCTGGTCATCAACGGCGGCGGGTTCAACGACTTGACCATCAATTCAGCCAAGAGGAAGCTGGACGAACTGGTCGACGCGGCTCCCCTGCAAACAGTGACGTTCGAAAGGGTGAAGGGAAGGTCAGAGCCCATCACCTTCTACCTAGAAGAGCTCCCCGGCGGAGCCCCGAACGCGGTCATCCCCTTACTGATAAGGGCAAGAATGGCCAATTTTGACGTACATCGCATCCTGGTCGACGAAGGGAGCTCCGTCGACGTCATGTACAGCCAACTGTTCCGAACCCTACAGCTGGACGACTCACATCTCTCGCCGTATGTAGGGTCGGACTTACAAGGTTTCAACGGCTCGACCTCTAAACCTTGGGGATATGTAGAGCTTCTGGTTACGTTCGGCGAAGGGACGGCTACAAGACAAGTCAAAGTACGCTTCCTAGTCATCGACTGCCCGTCTCTGTACAACTGCATCTTGGGGAGACCGACACTGGCAGAGCTGACAGCGGTACCCTCGACCGTCCACC